ATGAGGGGGATAGGCTCCCAGGAGGGTCATGGTCCCTTCCTGGTGACTGGGGGCACTGCCAGGGAAGCTGACTCCTTCAGTCCAGAATAAAGCATTTTCAACAGGCTACGTTTGGGTTGTGGGACAAACCCTCTCTGTTCCTCAGTGCCTACAGACTTCTCATCCCAGAGCGTCCCTCTGCTCCTGGCCCTTTCTCCCACTGGTGAGGTCCTCTTGGAACCTCCATTTTCAGGAAAGGCCCAGACCAGCCAAGCTTCATTCCTCTCCTGGCTCTGCTTCTGACCCTCAGGATCTTGTCCCCATGCTCCTTCACGACTCCTACTGTGTGTTGTCTTTTCCCAAGCTTGCCAAGGGCGGGGGACTAACTTTCTTTTCGCCTCTATTTCTATCCTCAACAATTAATACAACGCCTGGCATGGAATGACCATTTAACACACGCTCGCGGTTGACTGCCAACCGGACCATGGTAGAGAGGATGAACCAAAATGGGAGAGTACGGAAGAGAAACCGCAAGGACCACGCGGATGCAAGTAATTAACACGGAAACTTCCACGGGGTCTGGGAGTGAGGACTTCACTTCCTCCCCGTCAATCCTTCCCAATACGTCCCCCCACCCCTCCACCCTCGCCCACCCCAATTACCGGATCCCTCCTGCCTGCCCGGCCCCGCACGTCATGCTCCCAACCCGGAGGCTTCCTCCCGTCGATACCGAGGCCCGCAGGTCGGAGACCCCCCCAGGTCCGCCCCTGGGCTCTAACTCCTCCCAATCTGCCTCGAAAGCCCCCTCCCCCCACCGACGGCCCCTGCACGGTCCCCCACATGTCAGCATCGCGGCTGCCTCCCCCCAGGCGGGGCGCTCCCCCCGGACCCGGGGCACAGAAGCCTGAGATGAACCAGCAGCTGCCAAGAGTCCAAAACCACAAAACGGATCCCCCCCTTTGAGAAGAACCCCAGCCCGACAGAGGAAAAGTGAAGACATAAAGTGAATTTTGGAGCATCTGCTTTATCCCAGGCCCTTCCTTGCGCCGGCATTTATAACGTCTCAAAAGTTTGCAAAGCGCTCTACGCCTCTTTCCCTGAAGTCTCACAACGGCCTTGGGATGAGATTACTATTTGTCTATTACTAACACTCTCATTTTACGGAAGGGCAGACTGAGGATAACCAGCGGCGAGGGGCGGGTACGGTGGCCGGGAGGGGACGCACGCGCACCACGCGGGGGACGGGGGCGGGGCTTACCTCGGGCCGCTGGTGCCGAAGCGCCTCCAGGGCGGCGAGCGAGACCACGTAGAGCGCGGGCTGACAGCGTACCGTGCGCTCCAGCTCCTCGCGCGGGCCGCGCAAGCTCAGTTCCAGCAGGTCGTAACCCAGCACGCGCCCGGCGGCTGCGTAGAGCGCGCGCGCGCCCGGGTAGCGTAGAAGCGCGCGCCCCATGCCGACGGCCTGGCTGCCCTGGCCCGGGAAGAGCAGCACCGAGGTGGTCTCGGGGCTCGGTCGAGACCGAGGCCCCGGCTTGGAGCCCGCGTCCACCGTGGCGTCCTTCAGCAACGCCGCCACGTCCACCACCTCGGACGGCGGCGGCGGCCCCGAGGGGTCCCGGGCTCGCGAGGACCAGAGGCGCCTCCGGAGCGCGCCTGCGGCCCCAGCGCCGAACCGGAGCCGGGCCGCCATGACTGACGTCGCCACCGCCGGCGCCCGTTGTCTAGCAACCGCCCGACGCGCCTGCGCGGAAGGCCGCGTGGGTGCGCGCGCAGCTCCATCCGGGCTCCGTAGGCGGAAACCGGAGCCCGGGAGAAAAGTTCCTCCTCCCTGCGGCGCCCTCTGCCACTCTCCTCTCTTCTTATTTATAATAGTAAATATAAGGAATTTTGATAATACGGTAATAAAGGTGACAGCCGCCATTTCTATGACGCTTCAAGGTTTACAAAGATGACCCTTCCCTACATTTGTGGGAGGGCTAATAAAGGTCATTTGACAACTGAACAACTGAGGCTCAGAGAGGGTGAGCCTCTTTACCCATGGTCACACAGCATGCTAGTGACACATCCAGGATTTAGGTTCATCGCCCCAGATCTGAAAGGCACCTCAGAAGCCGTCTAGTCCAACACTCATTTTACGGATGGAGAAACTGAGGCCCAGGGTAGGAAGTGACTTACCCAAGGTCTTCACGTGCGGGGCTCACCAGTGGCTCCAAGAAGCTGTAGTATGCCCAAGGGCCACAGCTGGGTAAAACCTCTTGGCAGATGGGCTAAACCAGGTTTGAGGGTAAGCCCACAGGCCTGTCGGTGAATTAGGGGGATGTCTACTCCAAGCATGTGAAAACTTGTTCCCGCAGCCGTGAAGGCGGCCGGCCGAAGCAGGCGCTGTGGGGCGCCTAGAGCGTGGTCAGACCAGGTCGGCCACTGGCCATGGCCAGGCACCCTGCCTTTTGTCAATGACTCTGGAAGAGAAAGCGAGGCTGGTGACTTTGTCCAGCTCTGCCTCACTTCCCTCCAGTTCACACGGGAGAGGAGACTTCACCCTGCGACATCCTTGGCTCTCTGCAATAACGGAAGGAGGCACAGCGACAACGGAGGGGAAAACGGGGAAGAAAGGGACTTGCTCAAGGTTTCCCCCTAGGCAGTAAGCAGCAGGGCCAGTGCCCGACCCATGTCATCCTGCAGCTCTTCTCAATCTGGGTTCCAGGCTCTTTCCCCCTAGAACTCCCTCTGTTACTCAGAGAATGTTTCTTCAAAGAACAAGCAACATATTCCCAGTACTGGGACTTGGTATCTCAGACACTCAGTATTTACCTAGTTGTGTGACCCTGGACAAGTCCTTTCTCCTCTCTAAGCCTCATTTCTTCACCTGTAAAATGAGGACGAAGAGCAGCCTGGCCTAGTGGGCAGGAAGATGTGGGTTTGGGTCCTGCCTCTTTATACATCCTGGCTGTGGGACCTCGTTTAACCTCTCGGTGCCCGGCAGGCAACGCTAGTCTTAAATTGCAAAGCAGGTGCGTCTGCATCGGAAGAGAACGTTCTCATGTGGAGGGCCCCAAACAGAGGGAATCACAGGTAGGTCTAGACCCCCTCCCCTCCTCCCCAAATGAGAGAAGGGTTCCTGCATCAGCCAACAGACAGAGCTGTTGAAGAAAGTGCTGGCAAATGAGAGGGAGGCTTTTTTTCCCTGGACAGGTGTGTGGCCATCCTGGTGCCCCCTTGTGGCCGTGCTTGGAATCACCCCAGAAAACTGGGATTTCGTTCTGCCCTCCACATGTAGGCTGCATTTCCCCAAAGGCAAGATGGTAGACACACTAGCAAGCATGTTGTTGTTGTTGTTGCTAATGATGATAAAGAGGATGAGGATGAGAATGGCAGTGGGCAAAGAGCTCTGGCTCAGGAGTCCCAGGACCTGGGTTCAAATCCAGCCTCTGGTGCTTATTTCATGTGTGACCACCTAGGGCCAGTCAGTTAACCTCCCTGAGGCCCGGCTTCTCCAGCTGTAGTTTCCCTCCCTGCCCCACCCCCTCCAAGCCTGAGATCTGGGACCCCCGACCTGGTCCTTAGGGGTTCCTCTGCTGTGATCCAGTGACTGGGTGGGAGTAGGGAAGGTTCCATGGAGAACTTGGCTGCTGAGCTGCATATGAAGAATGAGAAGGGTTCCAGGATGAGGAAGGAGTGTCCCCCAGGCCCAAATGTATGGAGACCAGAGGCAGCGCACAGGCGTATCTGGGAAAGGTCCCCCCAGTTAGCAGGAACAGCTTGTCGGTCGATATTTCCTGGAAAGTAGAGGGTGCCAGGGAACAATACGAGAAATCAGACCAGAAAGATGAGTCAGAAGCAGACGGGGGAGGGCCTTCGATGTCAGGCTGAGCCCTGGCGGCATGAGATGTCCCTGAAGATTGGGGGCCAGTGATGAGGCACTCTGAGGACCCTTGGAGTTCTAGATCTGTCATCTTAGGGTCCTAAGTCACAACCTCTCTGGGCTTCAGTTTTCTCATCTATAAAATAAGGGTGTGTGGGTTGGACTGTATAATTACCCAAGGTCCCTTCCAGTTTTACATACATACTATGGACCTAAATCTAGGCTCTGACACTTAGCAGCTGGGTGACCTTGAGCCAATAGCTTCAGTTTTCCAATCTGCCAAATGGGAACGATGACCTTTTTCCTATTAGGGTTGTGATTTCTCCAACTTAGCCTCGAGCGAAGTCTTAGATGAAGGTCACTCGTGGCAGACTTGCTCAGAGTCACATGACCGGTAAGTGTCAGAGCCCAGATTTGTGCCCAGGTCTTCCAACCTACTTGTTCAGAGCTCTGCCTGCCACTTGACACTGCCTCGCCAGCCTTAAATGGGAGTGCTTCTCCTTCACCCTGCCCTCTGCTGTTTTACCAAGCAGTCACAGACCCTCCCAGGGCCTCAGGCCTCTTATCTGTGATTGGTAGGGATTGGAGCAGAAAATTTCAGAGAATCCATGAGAATGTTGTTACCATAAGGTTTAGGAGGATCATGGGATCACAGATTTACATTGGAAAGGGACCTTAAAGGTCATCTAGTCCATTTTACAGATGAGGAAACTGAGACCCCCAAGAGCAGAGAGTGACTTATCCAAGGTCATTCTAGTAGTAAGTAGCACAGTCAGAATTTGAACCTAGGTCTTATGATGCCCGACATCCCACTTCTTTCCCTGTGATCAAGTGAATGAATGAATGAATGAATGAATGAATGAATGGTTTATTAAGCACTTCCCATGTGCCCAGCACTGAGCTAACCACTGGGAATACAAATAGAAAAGTCTGACAGTCTCTGCCTTCAGGGAACTCTCATTCTAATGGGAGAGGCCACATATAGTCACAGGGGAAGGTCCCCTGGGCCTTAGGGGGCAGCATCAAAGCAGGCGGTCCGACTTTGCCCTTAATGCCATTTCCACTGGCCAAATTCTGACTCTGAACCATTATTCAGCTTTCATTGATTGGGCACCTACTGTGTGCAAGGAGAGGCTGGGATTGGTGGAAGGAATTGGGGCTGTTTAATGGGGGAGGGGGAGGGCGGGGCCGGCTCAAGGGAGGGGATCCGCCTTGTTCTGCTCCGCCCCGAGGGGCCGTCCCAAGATATTCCAAAGAGGCCCACTGAGGCTTGATTTCAGCGTCTTGTCACAAAGTGGAATGAATCAACTGCCTTGGTAGGTAGTGAGTTCCTCGTCCAGAGGTCTTTGAGCAAAGTCTGGACACAGGCTAGAGAAACGGCAAACCCCAAACCCCAGAGTCGGACACGACCGAAATAACTCAACAACGTCCCCAGCTCCGGCCACAATGTCTGGCATATAATAGGTACTTATTAACTGTATGACCTTGGTCATGTCCCCGTATCTGTGACTCAGTTTATCCCTCAGTAAAGCGAGGGGTTGGTCCTCTCTGTTGCTGCCACTCTGGAATGGCTTGATTCCAGGGTCTCTAGCAGGAGCAGGGGCTGCTCAGGGAAGGATTTTGGGGCTGCGGGGAGGGAGATGAGGCCATATATAGAAACGGGGCGGGTGGGGCCGAGGGAGCAGGGATCCAGCTTCACGGTGGAATCGGAACCATCGGCAGAACGTGCACCTGCAGCCGGCCAGAGGCCCGAAGGGGTAAGATTAAGGCTGGAGGCCGGGACTTGGGGGTCAGCGGCAGGAGGCCATGAGTGGATGCGCCCATGCGTCTGGGGCTGGGGGAAGAGCCCTGGATAATGGCCACGGGAGGGGCGGGGCGGGGCGGGGGGGGCCCCGGGAGCCCGAGAGAAGTCTGAGAACGGAGGGTCTGCGAGGTGGCAGGAGATCCCGCAGCGCCGCGGCTGGCGGAATAACCGTCATTCACTGGTTGACGAGGCTTTGCGTGCCCAAAGCGCTTTCTTCCCTAGAGCACCGAGGGCGGACGGAGCCATTTTGGGCAAGGCGGAATGGGCAGACCTGACCTGCCTCAAATGCGGAAGCCCGCGGTTCAGGTCGCGTACCGGACTCCCCCGACTGTGAGACTCCGGCCTCTAAGACCGTCGGAGTTGTCTTTCGCATTTGTGGAAGGAGTTTCCTCCGTGATGAAATCACTGGTCCGGACTAACAAAAACACAGATGGGGAAACTGAGGCTCCGATAAGTTGAAGGACTCGCTAAGGGCCCCCCAGAAAGCCAGGCAGTGTCCGAGGGGAGATCGGGGGCCAGGCGCGGCGGTTTTGGAGTGGGCGGCCTCTGGCCCGGCCCAGCCCAGGCTGGGGAGGGCTGGGCGGGCCCCGGCTGGGAGGGGCGGGATTGGCTTCCACCTCCTCGGCCGTGTCCGGTCTGGGCCGCTCCTGTGCGCGCCTTCCATTCACCCCCTGCCCTGCTGAGCCTCCAGGTGAGTGAGTGGGGGCCCCGCGCGTCCTGCTGCCCTCGCCCAGCCGCCGGGGCCGATCGTCCCCCTCTAGCCCGGCTGCCATCCTGCTGTCCCGGGGCAGGGCCTGGGGTGTTGGGGCGGGATTCGAAAGGGCCCCAGCCCGAGTTCCGAGCTTTGACTTTTCCGGGGGGCTGTGTCCCTAGCTGACTCTCTGTGCCGCATGAGGCAAGGCACGCTCCCTCTCCGGGCTTCCGTTTTCCAGGCTGCAAAATGAGCCTGTTGGACTGAATGCGCCCCAAGCCCCTTCGTAGCTCTGACGGTTTATCATTCTGTAGTCTTAGAGATCCCGCCTCC